ACGGCCTTCTCGACGAGAACAGAACTTATGGGTGACGCCGCGAGCAGCAGGACTGGGGGCGTGAGTGGTGAGTAATACCTGATCTCTAATGATGTCAGGTCCAGGTCTCCGAGCTTCATCAGCATCCACCGTGCGACGTGCTTCAGGGGAGGTAAGTCTATTACCGGACACATAATAATATTATAAATGGTAAATGTTGAATCAGGGGGATGACTGACATTATCAGCAACCATTGATCCTACCTGGAGCATATTCAACTTTATTAATCGTTGGCTAGGGCCTTCATTCGTTCACATTTTCTGCTGCAAAATTTCCTTAATCCTGGATGGGTACTGTACCTTTAGCGGAGATAACATGTCTCCGATCCTTCTTCCTGACCTCTTCTTTACCGGAGAAACATGGTAAGGTGGTATGGTTACAGGGACATTCTCACCTGTACCTTTATGCTGGACAGCAGATGTCGTGGGGGCTCCCCCTCGCTTGAAGATGCCCTTGTCACACCGGAGCTTCTTCAACAACTCCCGGTCAGCAGCCTGCAACAACTCACCTTCCTTGCCGCGGAGGTCAACAGCAGGTGAAACCGCAGCACAGGCCCCAACAGGGTCCTCAGTTTCATACCTCAGCTGGTAAGACATAGGATGAGATCTAAAAGAATAACAATTCTGTGTAAAGTTCAGTATCATGCCAGAATCCTGAATAAAATCCATACCGAGTAGAGAGTCTGTAGCACCTGGTATTACAATAAATAAGGTAGGTACTACAATTGCATGAACTTTTACATTTACTTTTGCAGTTTTAACAATTCTACATTGTTTAGAGCCATCGGCTAAACTAATAAACAATTTAACTGTATCAAACTTTTGGCCTTTTTCCACCAACACTCTATACAAACTATCACTTGCTACTGATTGCTTTGCCCCAGTGTCCACCAAGGCAGAACCATGCAATCCCAAAATTTCAATACCTAGCTTAGGTCTCATACAAACATCAATAAGTTTAGGACTAAATGCAGCAAATGCTGGTAAATTAACATTACAGTCAGATTTAGTACTTTTACAATTTGGACAATTAGATCTAATTACTCCGGGTAAACCACAACCAAAACAGGTGACAGTTGGCTTTAGAGGTTTGCACCGGAGCGAGATTTTAACAACCGATTGAATTCACCGGTGATCGGGCAATCTCCGGTGAAAAACCGGAGATCACCGGAGAATAAAGAAATTTTGTTTCTATTTTTTAATTATACATTCAAAATGATGAAATAAGAATAAGCGATTGATATACTTTATATAATCATTTATTAAAAAAAAAAAAACGTTTTATAATGTTAGCAAACGCTGATTTTGATTTAAGAAACACAACATGTCCACAGCATCATAGCGTAACATGTTTCTTCTATCATTTAGTATTTGTCCTGTCGTCGAAAATACTCTCTCTGACCTTACAGAAGTAGCAGGCACAGTTAGGTATTTAAAGGCTATTTCGTCTAAAGGCTTTAAATGTTTATTGAATTTCCAGAATTGCACAACTTCATCCCAATTGTGGCTTTTTTCAGGATACTGTGTTTCCGTATACATTTTGAATAAATTCATTGCCGTGGCGGATGTCATATTATTATCTGCATTACTGGTGTTTCTTTTTAGAAATCCAAGCAAATCCGGGCGACCAGTTTCTCTTGTACTATTTTCACTTGACGTGGCTATTTCTTTTGCGCTTTGAGATGTGTTTCGGATCCGGAAAATATTATTTATTTCTGCCTTTACAGCATCTTTAGCAGCCAATTTATTTTGCATTTGTCTAAAGCTGTTTCTAAAAACAGGATGCAGTATAGTAGAAATTCGACAAACAGCTCGAGATTCGTATTCCAATAAGCGATCATTCATACAGTTTTTCAATGTTTGTAAAAATATTTCACCTACCGCTGTAGAAATTCTGGGACCCAAACTTTGAATGTTATCGAATAGCCCGTAAATAATAGGTATAATCAAAGAAGATGTTGGATAATGGTCTCCGCTTATCATTTGGGTTGCTTGCTCAAATATATCCAGCAAAAGCACCATGTCTTGTAATATTTTTTCTTCTTCTGGGCTAATTATTTGAGGTGATTGAGGCAGTTTTCTCTGTGCGGCGGTTATACTGTCAATTAACTTTAAAATTCTTTTTATCATATAATAAAGGCTATTCCAACGAGTTGGAACGTCCTGTAGTAATTGTAAAGGTTCTACATCAGGATTTCTATCCTTTTGTTCTTTGCGGAGTGTTAGTGTAGCAGTATTAGATTTTTTGAAATATTTAACAATTTTTTTACACTTCTCTACCAAGTTTATTAATTCAGGAATGTTTATGGAATCATTTACAACCAAATTCAAAGTGTGTGCAAAACAAGGCATACTACGAACTCCTAACAGTCTAGCCATTTTTACTATGTTGGCTCCATTATCTGTTGTGATGCACACAACTTTATCACGGATTTCCCACTCCGTCAATATTTTATGAACCACATCTTTTAAATGATCTGCAGTGTGCGACTCTGTCAAAGGTGTAGTGGTTAGTACACAACTTTTAAGTTCATTTAAAAAGAAAAAGTGCACAGTGATTGTGATGTAGGACTCCATGAAATGACTCGACCAAATATCTGTAGTCAATGACAAGTTATCAACTTCAGATAAGATTTTTTTTAGCTTTGTCTTAGCTTCATCAAATATTTTCGGCATTAATTCATAACGTATTGTTCTTTTATCTGGAATTTCGTAGTTTGGGTTAATCTTATGAACAAAGTTCTTAAAGCCTTTATCATTTACCATAGAAAAAGGTTGAAAATCTGTAGCTAACATCAAAGTTAGAGCTTCGTCCTGCACTTTTTTAAGATTTATATTCGAGGACTGCTCCATAGTAGATACCTCTATACTATCATTTGTATCAGATGACGTTGGAGAATCTGTTCGGCTCATAATATCAGAATGCTTTCTTTTCAAATGTGATAACATATTTGATGTTCCACCGCCAGTGGTTAGCACGGCATTGCATAATTTACATTGAACTTTTTTGCCGTCTTCATCTACTTTTTCAAAGTGGCCTTTAGTTTTTGACTGAACTTTCGGCATTCTGAAATACCTATATCAACAAGAATAAGTTTTAATAGTACCACAATAGTTTAAAATATCCAAATTGAAAACTTGTTTAAATAGGTACTGGAAGTTAATGTTAAGTTAGACAGAAGTTAAAAAATAAAATCCAAAAAGGCACTTACGTAAAAGCTGGTGCGTTTCTTTTATTAATGAATCTTAGTTTTTCACTGTAAAAGAATATTTATCTCACAATATTTAATTACGGTGACACTATTATAGTAATAATTAAATGATTAACAACCTCGACCTATCGAACGAAATTCAATACAATACAAATGTCATTTTGAACGAGTGAATAGTATGTTTGACAAATAAAATGCTTTCGGGAAATTCCCTTTACCAAAGACTAAAAAAATATGTTTGTCTATGATTCCTCACTATTAATAATAATAATCTATGAAAGGGGAATCCCCAAATCTATGCGTCCTATGTCTCTAAGAAGGTACATAGCTATTATATTTCTCACTTAATCGTTGAATGATCATTTGTTCTTCCGTTATTCATTAATACATAGTAGATATAAATTAAACAGTTAACTTAAGAAGAATTATTTTAAAGAAATAAATTATTTTCATTTTGATTTTGAAGTTATCTATTAAAATGGAAAGTCAAGGTAAGCTAAATTTGTTCATGATTTTGTTTTAAATGTATGCAAGATACAATCTATGTTTTTTGTTTACCTATTTTTTATTCTATTTATATTTATTTGAAGAATATGCGCAAAGGATGACATTTTCTGACGACGAACCAGAAGGTGATTGTGCTAGAAGAAATATATCAAAAAAGCAAGTCATAGTAATGAGCAATGAAAAAGGAACGCAAACAGAAGATTACAAAAATAATCACGAACATTGCAACAAATTATTTGGACAGTTAGTTGCTAGACTTGCTAGTGAAATGAATCACATAAACGGACAAGACCGCTTTGAATTAATGACTGAAATAATTAATATAATTAGAAAGAAACAAGTTGGTAAATAAGTGGCATGTAAATTAAATAATTTATAGGGATCTTGAAAGGGCCCGAATTAAAAGTCCAGAAAACCTGTGAACGAGTTTACTCCACTCTTACTTGACGATTATAAAATAAAAATTACGGTGCTGTTACAATACATGTGCCGGGTGGCCAGAGAGAAAAAAAAATATCTTACATTGCCANAATTTAGAACAAGTTAAATTAACCATAAATAGTAAATATATTAAAATATTTGCAGTAGAACAAAAAGTGATGGTGAGAGACATGAGAAAATCATTGGTCTTTACCAATAATGTACTTTGGGCTTTGTGGCAGGTTGTGGCGAGTTAAAACGCTTTGTTTAAAATCTCAATTAAAACTTTTATCTGATTCCGATATTACGATATTGGGTCGCTCAATATCGGAATTGAAATATCGGATCTCGCAGTCCGAGATTCCGATATTACGAGATTCCGAGATTCCGATATTCATGCCCTAGATGTGAATGTGAGTGAATAGGATGGGAGAAGTCTATTTGCGCGCGCGCAACATAGCAAAAACAACTTTTTAATGCAATATTTTGATAGTTTTAGATTAGACTAGTCTAGAAAAAAGACTAGACTATACCAGGTCTGTTTTCCAGGGTATTAATTACTGTCTTCCGAGGGCAGGTTTTTCTTTTTTTAAACTTTTTTCAGGGACTGTGTCCCGCTGAAGCGCGTAGACGTAGACATGAAAAACTTCAAAGGAAAAGGAAATGCTAATAAAAGCTATTCACGTTAAGTGCCTACCCTTTTCCTGCTTAGCTTTGCCTTTTTATTTAAATACCTACTTATACTTATATACAATTAAGTGCCTATAATGTGATTAAAAAAAAATGTTAAAAAATTAATAAGTAAAAGTTAAAGTTTCTTCTTTTTATTAGGTAACAAGTTTATTTTTCAAGCAAATATTCTCAATGACACTTGTTTACACTTTGTAGCCAACGATGTGCATCTTTCCAATAGTTTCCCCAAGGAAAAACCACAATCCGATTTCAGTTCCCACGAGGATCAGCAACCAAGCCTGCTTCACGGTGAGGTATTTGAAACAACCAGATTGAAAGAATTCCTTCACTAAGGCCAAATCAGATTGCAGTTTCTGAAAGGGTGAAATTGATGTTAGTTCATTAGGTATCTACATAAAGGCCTAATTAGACCTAAGCGGTATTCGCTACCGTCTGCGGCAGAGAAAACCCAGTGGGTATGCGGTAATAATACTGTTCAGACCTAAGCGGTATTCGCTACCGTCTGCGGCAGAGAAAACGCTCTAGCCGCGGTACTTGATACTAAATACCTGAGCGAAACCCGCGTGGTATGTACCTCTACCCACCGCGGCAGCGAATATCGCTCAGGTCGCTCTAGCCGCGATACTTGATACTAAATACCTGAGCGAATCCCGCGCGGTACATAACTCTACCCACAGCGGCAGCGAATATCGCTCAGGTTTGAATAGGCCTTAAGTTTGGGTAGGTCTCCCACTAAGTAGACCGACGATCTGGTGAAGATCGCTGGAAGTACCTGGATGCGGACAGCGCACAACCAGGGGCCAGGTCCAGCAGTGCCTTGAACGTCGTTATGCTGAAACAAACTAACGGACTAAGGAAATTTAGACATTCCAACTTTCAGTTAAATATTGACGTTACCTGCATTTCATTGCCGCTAGGAGGTGCCATTTCTAAAGTATAGTATCCTTTAGCAACCTTGAGTTTTTTTGCTATTTCTGATTGACGTGCTTGAGCAGCCTTTTCTGCAAGGTTTGCATAATCATCTTAAATACGAGTATTCATATTATTCATCATATTAAAGATTTCCTTCTTAGCAGCATATAATAACAATAAAGTATTTCGAATCGATGTTGGACATTTAAAGTAGACACTATATAGTGCCTTAGATACATTAGTAGATTAGGTACCTACCTAGGTACGGTAGTAAATGAGTTACCTACACTTACCTTTTATAAGTTCTATTAGTTTTTCCTTATTCCTGGTAATAGAAGGCTTGTAAACCTCTGAGAGTTCGTTGACCATAGCCAAACGAGAGCCTGAAAACAAATAATTGTTATTGCGAATTTATTGCATCAACCTTCTGATCAATGCTCAAAATATTCTTAACAAATTTTGGTTTTAGAATTATCACAACTTACGTATCAAAGAATTCACAAGTCGTAAAGTTTTCGCACCGCTTGCCATTTCTAGTTTTATTTTAAAAACACTTTACAAATTGCTTTACAAGGACTAAAATTTGTGTGCGTCTAATTTTTACTTCAAAATAAAATGACACATTTCAATCAAAATGTACCTTACCAAGGAGTACCTTTTCAAGGAGTTTGTAAAACCCTTGGGTCTAGACAAAGAAAAGTGCAAATTATAATCGCAAACCAGACGAAAAGTTGTCGAAAAGCCCCTTTTTTGTATGGAGTTTTGACGGATTCGATTTTCGATTCGATCAAAAAGAAAGTGCGTTTTGTCTAGGGGGGCAGATTATTCTTTCTACTTTTATTTTAATTTATTACTCGGTGCCATAACATAACAATAAGCGTAAAGTATTATAGGGATCTTGAAAGGGCCCGAATTAAAAGTCCAGAAAACCTGTGAACGAGTTTACTCCACTCTTACTTGACGATTTTATAAAATTATTACGGTGCTGTTACAATACATGTGCCGGGTGGCCAGAGAGAAAAAGAAGCTTACATTGCCATAGACAAAAAAATATTTTAAGTTGTAATCACTAAAACGGGCCGGTAGGCGGCGCTGCCGTCGATTCCTAGGCGGGTTTGCTACAGACTCCCCCTCCAACACACCTGAACGACCCGTAGGTGTGTTGGCCTTTCTACGCTGAACAACCTTTAACTCTCCAGGACCACGATAGGGGACAATGCCTTCGGCATGATACCGACCTACCTTTGACCGACTCTACCTATTACCTCATAAGTGGTCGGACTAATGACCTTACCAGGGCGGTAACGGCCTTCTCGACGAGAACAGAACTTATGGGTGACGCCGCGAGCAGCAGGACTGGGGGCGTGAGTGGTGAGTAATACCTGATCTCTAATGATGTCAGGTCCAGGTCTCCGAGCTTCATCAGCATCCACCGTGCGACGTGCTTCAGGGGAGGTAAGTCTATTACCGGACACATAATAATATTATAAATGGTAAATGTTGAATCAGGGGGATGACTGACATTATCAGCAACCATTGATCCTACCTGGAGCATATTCAACTTTATTAATCGTTGGCTAGGGCCTTCATTCGTTCACATTTTCTGCTGCAAAATTTCCTTAATCCTGGATGGGTACTGTACCTTTAGCGGAGATAACATGTCTCCGATCCTTCTTCCTGACCTCTTCTTTACCGGAGAAACATGGTAAGGTGGTATGGTTACAGGGACATTCTCACCTGTACCTTTATGCTGGACAGCAGATGTCGTGGGGGCTCCCCCTCGCTTGAAGATGCCCTTGTCACACCGGAGCTTCTTCAACAACTCCCGGTCAGCAGCCTGCAACAACTCACCTTCCTTGCCGCGGAGGTCAACAGCAGGTGAAACCGCAGCACAGGCCCCAACAGGGTCCTCAGTTTCATACCTCAGCTGGTAAGACATAGGATGAGATCTAAAAGAATAACAATTCTGTGTAAAGTTCAGTATCATGCCAGAATCCTGAATAAAATCCATACCGAGTAGAGAGTCTGTAGCACCTGGTATTACAATAAATAAGGTAGGTACTACAATTGCATGAACTTTTACATTTACTTTTGCAGTTTTAACAATTCTACATTGTTTAGAGCCATCGGCTAAACTAATAAACAATTTAACTGTATCAAACTTTTGGCCTTTTTCCACCAACACTCTATACAAACTATCACTTGCTACTGATTGCTTTGCCCCAGTGTCCACCAAGGCAGAACCATGCAATCCCAAAATTTCAATACCTAGCTTAGGTCTCATACAAACATCAATAAGTTTAGGACTAAATGCAGCAAATGCTGGTAAATTAACATTACAGTCAGATTTAGTACTTTTACAATTTGGACAATTAGATCTAATTACTCCGGGTAAACCACAACCAAAACAGGTGACAGTTGGCTTCGTAGATTCTGGTCTCTCCTCTTGCTCTGTCTCAAATTGCTCATTTTGCTTCTTCCGTTGGCCTTTCTGGCACTCATCTTTCATATGGCCGAATTGCTTACAATAGTTACAACGGAGCCTAGCCTTCCTATTTGTAGTAGCATCTCTATCTGTGGTTCGGTCCTGAGGAAGAGATTCACTCCTAGTTGGCATCTCAGACGAAGTAACCTCAGTTTTGGTAACAGCTGGGCACTCCTCTTCCAACTCCTCCACCACACGTGCTAACTCCAACAACTGCTGGAAGGATGAGAAGCTTGTCCTGGCAACTTGTCTCCGAATACGGCGGTGCAGCAGCCCGTAGACCATATCCAACTGCACAGGGTCCTCTGGTATAGTATTAGCAGGCAACTGTGATAGTAGTGCTCTTGACTTGCACACAAAAACATCTGTGTTTTCATCACCCTGTTCTCTCCGGAACAATTCCTTATATATCATGTGTGGGGGCAATCTTGGTCCATAGGTATTCCTCAATAATGCTAGTGCCTCACTCCATGTCGTAACTGAATGCTTTACACCTTGCCACCACTCCGCAGCGAAGTCCGTCAGCAACATCGGCAGTCCACGCATCGCCATAGCATCAGTCATAGCAACACTTTCCTTGTAGATCTCGATGGCTTCTAAGAACGGGATGACATTTTTCTTGCCATCAAATCGGTGTGTGNTTTTTTTTTTTTTTTTTTTTTTATGTGATAGGAGGCAAACGAGCAAACGGATCACCTGATGGTAAGTGATTACCGTCGCCCATAGACACCCGCAGACCCAGGGGCGTTACAGGTGCGTTGCCGGCCTTTAAGGTAAAGATACGCTCTCCTCTTGAAAGCTTGCTTGCTTGAAAATCGGTGTGTGCACGCAGCAAAGTTAGACTGCATTGCAGGTACAGGTGCAGCTCTGCTTCCAATCTGGGACAGCAACAACGCCAATTGACTATCCGTCATAACGACAGGCACCGGTTGTGCAGGAGCCATCACTGGACCAGGTGCGTCACGCACCTCTGTAGACTCCCTTGGTGATTCCATCATCTCCACCTCAGCCGCAGCTGGTGTCTCCGTGGACGTCTCAGGCCTTTGCGCCGGGCTATTTGTACGCGATCTCGTTAGGACNTAAAAAAAATAATAATCTACCTATCCTGCGGGAAGGAGAATCGTTCTCAAATTGGAGATTCAGACTGGAAATGATCCTCAAAGAAAGAGACATCCATAACACCATAAGTGTGAAATACCGAAAAGAAGATGATAAAGATTTCGCACAGAAGGACACGAGGGCGAAATGCGCCATTGTCGTGCAATGTCTAAGCGACAAGTATTTAGAAACTGTTAAGAACTGTGAAACCGCTTTAGAAATGTTAACAGCATTACAAAATCTACTAGAGAGAAAAAGTGTTATAAATAAACTGCACTTTAGAAGGAAACTAATAAACCAAAAATGTCCATCAGGCACAAAACTTCAAGATTTCTTCATGAAATTTGATGGAATCATAGGAGACCTAAATGGAGTCGGCACTATCATTGCAGAAGAAGAGCCAGTATGCTATTTAGTGGCTGCTATGCCACCGGAATACAACGCCATAATAACCTCTATTGAGACGATGTCGTCTCCCCCTCGCTTGAAGATGCCTTTGTCACACCGGAGCTTCTTCAACAACTCCCGGTCAGCACCTTCCAACAACTCACCTTCCTTGCCGCGGAGGTCAACAGCAGGTGAAACCGCAGCACAGGCCCCAACAGGGTCCTCAGTTTCATACCTCAGCTGGTAAGACATAGGATAAGATCTAAAAGAATAACAATTCTGTGTAAAGTTCAGTATCATGCCAGAATCCTGAATAAAATCCATACCGAGTAGAGAGTCTGTAGCACCTGGTATTACAATAAATAAGGTAGGTACTGCAATTGCATGAACTTTTACATTTACTTTTGCAGTTTTAACAATTCTACATTGTTTAGAGCCATCGGCTAAACTAATAAACAATTTAACTGTATCAAACGTTTGGCCTTTTTCCACCAACACTTTATACAAACTATCACTTGCTACTGATTGCTTTGCCCCGGTGTCCACCAAGGCAGAACCATGCAATCCCAAAATTTCAATGCCTAGCTTAGGTCTCATACAAACATCAATAAGTTTAGGACTAAATGCAGCAAATGCTGGTAAATTAACATTACAGTCAGATTTAGTACTTTTAAAATTTGGACAATTAGATCTAATCACTCCGGGTAAACCACACCCAAAACAGGTGACAGTTGGCTTCGTAGATTCTGGTCTCTCCTCTTGCTCTGTCTCAAATTGCTCATTTTGCTTCTTCCGTTGGCCTTTCTGGCACTCATCTTTCATATGGCCGAATTGCTTACAATAGTTACAACGGAGCCTAGCCTTCCTATTTGTAGCAGCATCTCTATCTGTAGTTCTGTCCTGAGGAAGAGATTCACTCCTAGTTGGCATCTCAGACGAAGTAACCTCAATTTTGGTAACAGCTGGGCACTCCTCTTCCAACTCCTCCACCATACGTGCTAACTCCAACAACTGCTGGAAGGATGAGAAGCTTGTCCTGGCAACTTGTCTCCGAATACGGCGGTGCAGCAGCCCGTAGACCATATCCAACTGCACAGGGTCCTCTGGTATAGTATTAGCAGGCAACTGTGATAGTAGTGCTCTTGACTTGCACACAAAAACATCTATGTTTTCATCACCCTGCTCTTTCCGGAACAATTCCTTATACAACGTGTCCGAAAATTCAAGGATAAGCCGACCCCACCAACAGGATGGAAGAGTCCTATCCTTGAATTTTGGGACACGTTGTATATATATCATGTGTGGGGGCAATCTTGGTCCATAGGTATTCCTCAATAATGCTAGTGTCTCACTCCATGTCGTAACTGAATGCTTTACACCTTGCCACCACTCCGCAGCGAAGTCCGTCAGCAACATCGGCAGTCAACGCATCGCCATAGCATCAGTCATAACAACACTTTCCTTGTAGATCTCGATGGCTTCTAGGAACGGGATGACATTTTTATTGCCATCAAATCGGTATGTGCACGCAGCAAAGTTAGACTGCATTGCAGGTGCAGCTCTGCTTCCAATCTGGGACAGCAACAACGCCAATTGACTATCCGTCATAACGACAGGCACCGGTTGTGCAGGAGCCATCACTGGACCAGGTACGTCACGCACCTCAGTAGACTCCCTTGGTAATTCCATCATCTCCACCTCAGCCGCAGCTGGTGTCTCCGTGTACGTCCCAGGCCTTTGCGCCGGGCTATTTGTACGCGATCTTGTTAGGACCATTATTATGCGTAACTTTCACTAAATATAGCAGTCCAGACGTGGTTAGTGCAGCACGGTATATTCGTATGGTAACATGAGCTGTTGGGAACGAAATATCGGCGGATAGAACCGATATCAACAACTCCAGATAAGAACGTCAAAATACACGCGTACACATTCTAACTTTCACGTATACTGTTCAAAGTCACTTTAAAAGCTGTAGGAATTGTGTTTACGCCCAATTTAAGTCAATAGGTACACTTTTATTCGGACCGTTTGGTGTAGTGGTTCAGAACGGACTACTATGCCGAGAGGTCCCGGGTTCGATTCCCGGCCGGGCAGAAATTGAAATGATGAATTTTAATTTCTGTTACGGGTCTGGGTGTGACTATGTATAATATTTATGTTTTTAAAAAAAAAGTATATAAGTAGTATATCCGTTAAGCTAGCACCCATAACACAAGCATTAAGTTGCTTACTTTGGGGCTAGCTGGCGCTGTGTGAAATTGTCCAAAGATTTATTTATTTATTATTATTTATTTATTCCAATTTTCACAAAGTTTGTACACAAAACTTTTTACGTAAACAAGTTCGTACGTTTTGACAGCTTTGACACTTCGACCACGACACTATTGACAGTGACAGTTCTATAGGCGGCAAAATTGTCTATCGACCAATAGGAAAATGGTATCGCCTACTGTGCACTTAACACTCGCAAAATGGTATCGTCCAGTTTTTCTCAACTGTATTTTCGCTAAAAAACGATATAATACACGTTGCACCAAAGAAAAAACTTGATTTTCGAGTCCGGGGATATCAGGCAGACGCGATTTAACACTAAATCCAGCGAAATAACTGCGCTGACACGAAAACTCATTCACGGCTATCAGAGTTCACTTTTCACATTCGGGGGTCACGTTGGGCAGCCACTTTTATCTATAGTGATCTTGACAGGGCCCGAATTAAAAGTCCACAAAACCTGCGAATCAAGTTTACTCCACTCTTGCTTGACGAATATCAAATAAAAATTACGGTGCTGTTACAATTAATGTGCCGGGTGGCCAGAGAGAAGACGCTTAGCTTACATTGCCATAGACAAAATAAATTTTAAATTTAGTCTAATAACATGCCGATAGGTGGCGCTCTAGGCAGGTTTGCTATAAAGGGACACAAGTCTTATGAATGCCCGACCACCAAGGACAAGGACAACTACCGAGGAAACCGAAGACGTGGAACCCGAGGAAGATCATGGCAAAGGAGACCAAGGATGCGAGGACGGGGAAGAGCAACCTGCGCGGTGAACACCGAGGAAAGAGGACAAGGAGCAATGGGCATTCACGGCTTTCGGAGCAAATGAAGGGAATTGTGAGGTATTGGTAAAAAAATTATTAAATTCAGAATAGATTCCGGAGCTACTGAGCATTTAATTAAAGATTGTTATAAAAGTTTGATGTATGACATTGAAACGATAGATGAAATTAATAAAATATGTAACTAATGGTGAATATTTAACTAGCAATGAAAAAGGTAAAATTAATGTAACTTGGCAAAATGAAAATATTACTATTCATTGTTTAATAGTTCACAACTTGTCTTATAATTTACTGTCTGGCAATTATTAAATAAAGTGCAATTTGAAAATAATACTGTATCTATTTTCAGGGGACAGAAAGTAATTCAAGGTCAATTGCAAGAACGTTTGTATGTAGGTGAATTAAAATATTTTAAAATGTTTTGAGAGAAAAAATATTGTTATATCTGACTGGCGTTTTGTTTTCAATTTTTTGTCCAAAGGTTTCACCACAATTTCTATATCATCTTTGGAAACCACAGCCATAATCTGGTTCTAATGGAAAGCAAAATCCTTCCGATTTAACACTCTTTCTCAGGTAACTAATGTCATATTCATTACTTTCACAGTCTAAGTCTGTTAACAATCGACCTATAAAATGCTTTAGTTGTTTTCCCGGAAACCGAACTATGACAAAGTCGTTTTTCTTTGCAATATTATAGGAGGTTAACGGAATGTCATCTAAATTAGCAGAAGACAGAGATGCATCAGAATCGCTAGAATCCGAAAAAAGTATTTTAGTAACTTTTTTTACTTTCATACTTGATTCTGGTTTCTCTTGATTAGTTTTCTTTTCTTTTTTTAAATTATTTTCTTAATTTCTTTCTCCTTAATAAGTTTTTTCTCTTCTTTTAATCGGGCTTTTTCTTCAATTTCTTTTTTAATTGGTGTATCTGTTGTCATTATCGTTTTAATAATAATAATAATAAAGAGAATAATAATAATAATGCCACTACATTTAAATTCTATATAGGTAACTTGTTTTAAAAATTCTGACACTCGAATAAAACTTTTTTTTTGCCAATGCTTACTCCAAATAAAATCTTGTACTGATTACGACAAAACTAAAGACATAATTGGAGATATGATAATATTGTGTCTTAATAAATATGATTCCCCTGGATTACGATGCGAGATAAATAAATTAAAACAATTAATAAAAGTTACGGATTCAACCCAAGAAGACCAGACCTCATCAATCCGAGACCAAGATTTTGACTGTGATAGGCATTCAATTTTGCAAGAGGATTTAAAACTAGACGAAACAGACTAACTAAACAGCAGAGAGAAATATTTACGGACAATCAATATTTCGATCATTTAAATGTGAAGAAGTTTTATTATTTATTTTAAGTATGCCTTGCATACCAATTATAGGTGTACCAGAATCTCATGGCAAATAGGGAAAATAAACTTTGTTGAGAGCAATACTGGGGAAATTGGAATAAACGATCTTGATACTGTTTAATTTTTTACTTTTATGACTTTAATATTAATGAACATGAAGTACGAATATAGGTACATTTTAGGTAGGTATGTGTATGAAGAATGTTGTTATACATCGGAAAATGTATTGAAAAATAAATAAATCGTATATTACTTTAAGTAGGTAACTAATTTTATTATGCATCGTATTTTTTCCACCGATCAACATGGAAAGCAGGGGGAGGCCTGTGTTCGGCAGTGGACGTCCTATGGCTGAAATGATGATCGTATTTTTTAACTTATCACTTCATTCAGAACTAGAAAACTATTCTAAGAACTCCACTCGCATTTCTTGTTCTTCAATAGATGATCAAGATAAAGAGGTATTGTAAATAAATTGCTCTTGCAGCATTTCAATGGAGAAGTTTCCTGATGTTAAAAACACTATATTTCTCTGAATGGGATTAAAATGTATACCAAAACTAAAAAGACGATCGGCGGCGCAGATCACTTCAGATTCTAAAGTGATCTGCGGCACTTTAGATTCTAAAGTGATTCTAAAGTTTAGAACTTCGTGACGTACGGCGGCTCCCGCCGGAGATCGCTTGAGGGGAATAGAAAACAAAGACGGATCAAACAGGCCAAAACTACAAACAGATTTAAAATATCCCCGGTGGTATCATGAAAAAGTCGATATAGAAAACTGGTATATTTCTTTAACAGAGGATGATGAAGAAGATTCAGCACATGACAATTTGTTTTATATGTTATATCTGCTTTGTTTTGTAGAATCAACTGATAAAGTTGCGGTTTGAGCATCTCTGCAGAGTGGTCGATATTTCTATATTTTAGCCAATCAATCATAATTTGTTTACGATGGTTTGAATTGGGGGCGGGATTATGTTATGCAGCGTTGTTAACCACCACAACACTATTCGGTTCTAAATTTGGAATCAGCTGCGTTTGCAAACATTTGGTGTAATTCTCGGTGTTCATGTTATGATGATAGTCGCCAGTTTTTTGGTTTGCCTTGAACATGAGTAGAGCATTAGATATAAAACCGTCCTTTCCGCCGGCATGAACTATTATTAACCGATTTCCCTTGGAAATTGGTTTCTTTAAGCCAGAGGTGCTTCCATCTGAATAAGATTTCGACGAAGTGTGACACGTGTCGATATAAGTTTCGTCATTATACACGATTGGACGGCCCTGGGCACGATATTCAGCTATTTTAATCACGAACAATATTCGCAGATATCTTATTTGGTGCTTCTCCATAAGGATTCTGCAATTGTCTTCTGTCATTTTCCATTTAAATACAGAGCCACTTCTTTTCTCAGCGTCATAATTCCACCCTTTCCAATTAATTTCTGTTTTTTACTTTTCGTGCTATATTTTCATGGTGGGAACCTGTTTTTGAGTGACGTGAAAGTTGTGGATTGTTCTCCGTATTACTGCTTACTGCTGCTGTATTTTGCCTACATGTTGTTTTTTTCGAAGATTTAAATTTTCTTCCATGTTCCAAAACACGTTTACCTTCAGCTAGAACTCTGTGTTCAGTTGACAGCGGAATTCCCGTCGATGTCGCTACCAATTGGGCCGATGTAACGACACTTGACACATCTTTTTCGTTCATACCTTTAAAATAAGTATTCAATTTGCATAAAATTTCTTTCACTTGGCTGCTTAATGGATTTCGTACAGGAAATTCACTTACAGTAGGAGCCATTTCACTAATGTTGCAAATCATGCGCATAGATCTGTTGCATGATATAGAAAGCGTTAGCCTTTTTTATATCATCAAATAAAAGCGAAGCTTGTTCTTTAAAAACGTAAAGTTCCTAGCAGAATTCAACGGCGCTTAAAATCTCGCTCGTATTTTCGAGCCAGATCTACTTTATACTTTTGCAGTTCTTCAATTGTTCTTCAATATTTTGTTTATTATTTGTCCTATCACCTTCACAGGTCGTTTGCTCCGGGAAATGGTCAAGAGTCTGTCTAATCGAAAAATATGGGAAAATTAGGGTGCACGGGAAAGTTTGTGAGACTTCTGAGACTCCTTCACGACGATATGCAGTGCTGCGTCGCCGTAGACGGCGAACAGACAGATTTCTTCCCCGTTACCTGTGGGGTGAAACAAGGGTGTGTGCTAGCGCCCACACTGTTTGCTCTATACTTTGCGGTGGTAGTCAAAGAGGTTCTACAAACTGTTTCTGAGGGAGTCCGCATCCGTTTTCGCACAGATGGCAGCCTGTTCAACTTAGCCAGACTTAAGGCGCGCACTAAAGTCTCGTATGCACTGATCACTGAGATCATGTATGCTGATGATTTGTGCTTTCTAGCAGAATCCTCAGAAGGCCTGCAACAGCTGATGTCCGTCTTTCACCAGGCATGCTGCAAGTTCGGCCTGAAGATAAGTGTCAAGAAGACAGAAGTGATGTCTTTGGACACAAATGACCACGAGTCTCTAAGCATTATGCTTGGTGAGGATGTACTGAAACAGGTGGATAAGTTCCGATATCTGGGGAGTACTATAACATCCAAATGTGATCTTGATACCGAGATCAGCAGCAGGATCAGTGCTGCAGCTGCAGCATTTGGGAAGCTGCGTTCCAAGGTTTTCTGCTCGCATGACCTAAAGCTGGCTACAAAAATNCACCTCAGCCGCAGCTGGTGTCTCCGTGGACGTCCCAGGCCTTTGCGCCGGGCTATTTGTACGCGATCTTGTTAGGACCATTATTATGCGTAACTTTCACTAAATACAGCAGTCCAGACGTGGTTAGTGCAGCACGGTATATTCGTATGGTAACATGAGCTGTTGGGAACGAATATCGGCGGATAGAACCGATATCAACAACTCCAGATACGAACGTCAAAATACACGCGTACACAGTTCTCACTTTCACGTATACTGTTCAAAGTCACTTCAAAGCTGTAGGAATTGTGTTCACACCCAATTTAAGTCAATAGGTACACTTTTAATCCAATTTTCACAAAGTTTGTACACAAAACTTTTTACGTAAACAAGTTCGTACGTTTTGACAGCTTTGACACTTCGACCACGACACTATTGACAGTGACAGTTCTATAGGCGGCAAAATTGTCTATCGACCAATAGGAAAATGGTATCGCCTACTGTGCACTTAACACTCGCAAAATGGTATCGTCCAGTTTTTCTCAACTGTATTTTCGCTAAAAAACGATATAATACACGTTGCACCAAAGAAAAAACTTGATTTTCGAGTCCGGGGATATCAGGCAGACGCGATTTAACACTAAATCCAGCGAAATAACTGCGCTGACACGAAAACTCATTCACGGCTATCAGAGTTCACTTTTCACATTCGGGCGTCACGTTGGGCAGCCACTTTTATAGGGATCTTGAAAGGGCCCGAATTAAAAGTCCAGAAAACCTGTGAACGAGTTTACTCCACTCTTACTTGACGATTATCCGAGATCAGCAGCAGGATCAGTGCTGCAGCTGCAGCATTTGGGAAGCTGCGTTCCAAGGTTTTCTGCTCGCATGACCTAAAGCTGGCTACAAAAATTTCAATATACATGGCGGTTGTGCTGCCAAACCTACTGTACTCCTCCGAGGCGTGGTGCGTGTATCGCCACCATATACGCACACTGGATCGTTTCCACCTCAAATGCCTTCGTACCATCATGAAGATCAGATGGTCTGATCGAGTGCGCAATACCGAGGTGCTACGACGAGCCCATGTGGGTGGCATTGAGGCCTATATAATGCGTCGCCAACTTCGATGGTGTGGTCACGTATCACGTATGACGGAGGAGAGAGTGGCGAAGCGCATCTTCTACTCTGAACTTGAGGAGGGTAAGCGGAAACATGGCGGTCAACTCCTCAGGTACAAAGATGTACAGAAGCGGCACATGAAAAGATGCAACATTGAGCCCTCTCAGTGGGAAGGTTTGGCAGCACAGCGTCCAGAATGGCGGGAGATTGTGAAAAGGCAAGTCCACGAGTTCGAGGTGCAGCGTACGACTGAACTCGACGCGAAGCGCGATGACTTGAAGGCCCGTCCATCTGCCGCCTTTCACTATAACTATGTTGGCGGCGTGCTCAGATGCCCTCAATGCGCGAGGGATTTTACCGCGAAAATAGGCTACGTAAGCCATCTTCGGGCACACCAGCGCCGCCAAGACAGCTAGGAGTCGGAGTGGTCGCCATGGCCGAAATCGGTCGGATGGATCATCATCACTGGTAGTACTATTCATATTGTGTGTGCGTGGTGGTAAATTATTTTTTTCTACAAGTCCTGTGCCAGTGCGAGTCTAAACTGCCGGTGAGTCATTTTGTTGCGTTGGCCAATGTTGGCGCAATATATTTGTATAAGAGTTTAGTATCGATACATTTAATAATCTTTTAAATACTTTAATGTACCACTTCATACCGCGCTTTCTTTCTAAGAGGTACATTGAAAGTTTTTGATCCTTTAAATCTACTCCGCCCATGAATTTGTTGTAATCTTTGACACCTCTAGGTTTATTAATATTTTGACCGGCTCGGTGTCCTTGAGTGGTATCAGAGTCGTGGTATGTAGAAACTGTGGTGACTAACCTCACGTCTTTCCAGGCGGTGACAGATATGTCACCACAGTGTCTACTTACGAGCCAGTACCTTTAACCCTTCGCGCCCTGGTCGAACAGGAACTTGCGCGTCTTGAGAGTGACGGCACCATTTACCGCTGGCTCAGATTATGGTACTCCAATTGTGCTGGTAGTAAAAAGAAATAGATATACGTATCTGCGGTGACTACAAGGTCACAATCAATCCTAAACTTAGACGTGACTTTTACCCGTTGCCACGTATTGATGTTGATAAGTTATTGGCAAATTTGAGTGGGGGGAAGAAGTTTACAAAGTTAGACCTAACGCATGCCTACGAGCAATGTTTGTTATCACCGGAGTCGCAGCCCTCCCTACACAGCAATCACAACCCACATGGGAACCTTTGCTTACAGACGCACACATTATGGCTTATTATACCACCGTATTCCGGAAAAGTTCCAAAAACTGATGGAGGAGACCCTGCGGATAGGGATGTGCCATATTATGCATTATACCAATAGATTTATTCATTAAAAATAAACAACAGAATCAGTAAGTTCTTGAACTTATAATCAACACAAATTAAAGTTTTAAAATAATCATTTTTTTTACATTAATCAACAAATTTATTCAAATTCAAAAAACTAGATATTCGTACTGAAATAATAAATTCTTATAAAATTAAAATAAATCAACAAAATCAAATTATTCAAATAAAAAATACTAGAAATCCGTAGGCAACGAGTTCAGAAATAACAGCTTAGGTAAGCGTTTGGATAATATTCGCCTCCTGGTCTTTGTTAATATGGCGCCAGCTTTCGAGAACAATCTCTCTGCTGGAGTCGAAGAAGCCAATAGATGCTTACACGCCAAGTAGAGAGCTATGATAGTATTCTTTGGCAGTTCGCGTTCCGGGCTATTATAGGATTATTTCCATAATAGATTATTTCTTCACATTCCTACCTGCGGGGTGTGCCGGGCTGTGTAGTGTTTTGCGACGATATTTGCGTCACAGGGGTTAACACGCCCACTCACGTGAGTAACTTGAGAGCAGTGCTGGGAAGGCTGCGTACTCGTAAAATGGGGCTTACTATCAAAATCAGTAAGTGTAAATTTTTGCAGGAGTGTCTCATACTTGTGGTTTATAATCAATGAAGACGGGGTGCGACCGGACCAAACTAAATTAGACGCAATAGCTAATGTACATAAACCACGTGATGCATCTCATCTCAAAAGCTTTCTAAGAATACTTAATTATTATGGGCGTTTCATACCTAACTTGAGCACGTTGATGAGCGATCGAGTACTGGCGCACTACGAAGAGGGACGTGAGTTGATTTTATCAGTTGACAGCAATTCGTACGGTCTAGGGGCTGTGCTCGCACACCGGTATGAGGATGGAAGCGAGCGCCCGGTAAGTTGTTCATAGCGTACCCTCAACGCATCTGAAAGTAATTACAGCCAACTGGAAAAAGAAGTTCTAGCGATTCTTTACAGGGTGACTAAACATCACCAATATTTGTTTGGCAGACGGTTCACCTTATTAAGTTTATTTTTTATATATTTTATCAAGCACGACTGCACGACCCAACTTCTTGTGCCCCTCGGCCTACTTTACCCTCAATCCATACATAACAGTGTGCACTATCGTCTGAGCCCGCATGTATGCCACAATTATAAAGCCAGAGTTGGCGTTTATAAAAAACTATGCCGGTGGGGATACGAGGCAGTGGCAGTGTCTTTTCTAAATCAAATGTTAGACATTCAAAATTTTCGTCTCCAGAAGTATTTGACTATCCCACAACCATTGTGAGGTTAATGAGTATAACTGACGACTGTAATAACTGATTTGATTCGGTAGTTTAGGGAGAGCAAATTTTTTGACAGTCAAACGAGATTGTTATAAGACCCTCACATTCTTCACGAAGTTTTTCAAAAAATGCTTTTGCTCTTAAGCAATGGACTCTCTTTTCGGTCATAAGTTGATTCTTTTCTCCTGTGTCTGTTTCAGCTTTAATCTAGTTTTTGGAGTGCCGAATCCAATATTGTAACAGTTATTAAAAATATTTCTAAAATAAGATTGTTTTGTGCCAGGATAAAAATATTCACTTTTTACATACATATCGTAGCTATAGCTTTATGTTCAGTTCTGAGGGTAGATATTTTCTTTCAGCAGATTTTGTCTTTCTGCAATAATGCGATTCTACGCAATTCAACTTTTGTATGAAGCTATGTATGAAATTTCTTATATCTGCATATTTCAGAGATACCCGATCCCCTCCACGATGTTCTTTGAGCGATTCGCCTGTATAATAGAATCTATATAATACATAAGACACCCTGTGTTTTGTAATTTCAAAAATTGATAGGAAAAATTTTTGCCAGATGGGGAACTTCTGGTGATCAATAAATACAGAGTATTATAAATGGTAGTTTGTTTCTTACCCTTATATCCTCGTTTTTGTTTAAGGCTGCAGTTAGACGACGCAAAAACTTTCACGCGGCCAGTTATAAGTTTTATTATTGTTTTTTCGTTGTTTTGTTATTTTGTTAGTATTTGTGTTATTATTGAACTTTTGTTACAATAATGCCAAAAAGGGCCAGAAAAACTGTTTTGAATAGTGAATCCCGTGAGTTCGTGGTTCGTTTACGGAAATATTTCGAACGCGAATACCAAAATGGCGGACCGCTGTTGCCAGTGTCCCAAGTAAGTGACAGAGTTGCTGACGCTCTAGGTATTGGAAGAGCTACTGTAACTAGAATCAGTAAAGAAAAATATGGAGAGACATCAATGGAAGATAAAAAGTTATCTACTCCAAATAAAAAGAGGAGGAAGCGTTGCACTGTGACGGACATAGACGATTTTCACGCGGCAGCAATTCGCAATCATGTTTACGCATGCTACACACGCAACGAGCTGCCAACTTTATCAATATTAGCAGTTTCCTTGAAAGACGCAATCCTGTACAATGGAGGCGGATCATCTTTGCCAACTATTTTAAAAAATATTGGGTTCTGTTATAAAAAATGTAATAAGAGAAAAATTATAATGGAACGTACTGACATTGCTCTGGCCCGTATCGATTTTTTACGAAAAGTGAGACATTGATGACTGGGAAAAAGTGGTGTTTCTCGACGAAACATGGCTCAATGCCAACCACACCGTTTCTAAAACATGGACATAACTATGACAAACCCGAATCATCTACTAAGGTACCCGAAGGAAAAGAGCAGAGATTAATAATTTGCCATGCAGGTACCTCGTCTGGCTTTGTGCCAAATTTTCTCCTAGCATTTAAATCTGTGAAAACCACAGAATAACCACGAGGAGATGAATTTCGATAAATTCATGGAATTGTTTATAACTCTTCTAAGTAACTTAAATGAATCCCATGTAATACTGATGGACAATGCGCCATATCACTCGTTTCAAGTAAATAAACCTCCAACAACGAATAACCGAAAGGACGAGATAATTACTTGGTTGCATTCCATTGGCGTAACAAGCCGACGAGTCCATGTTAAAAAGAGAACTGTTGCGATTAGGGGCATTGCACAAACCCCGAACTCCAATAGGGAACATGCAAATACTATATTTATGAAGGTTTATATTTAATATAATGTTGTTTTTTAACAATAATTACCAATTTAAAGTAACGGATTTGAAACACCAATCAGCGTTTAGTGACGTCACTCCTGTTATGACAGTGGTTATAACTGAGGTTATAGTTGTAGAAGTTAACATTTTAAAGGAAAATTAATTGCGTTTCGAATAAAAATGGAAGTTGGGATTGTCAAAGCTGACTCCAGGAATCTACCAAAGTTAGTGTTGACATGGTAGCATTCATAAATTGTGTTCAAGCTTGATTGGAAAATTGGACTCTCCACAATAATTTCTTGAAATATTATATCAAAGCAAATGACCCCTGATAAAATTAACATGATTTTTTCCACCACCAAACAACAAAGTGATTCACCATTGTGGTTTGAGTTGAGGTAAGTAGTCAGACTTCTAGTTTAGTTTACTTATGTATTTTATTACAAAATTTCATAAATCTTCAGAATCATTTACAGAAACACAGTAAAATATTGGACAATCAAACAATCAATCACTTTCATATACATATAGCACTTGAATGGCATATTTTACTGTAATGTTTTCATTTTTGTAGGTACGGTACGGTAATTTATAATGTTACGTTCAAGACTTGTGTAGTAATTTATAATCATTGTTTCTGCATTTCAGATTAAAATTGAAGAAGCTGGAGTTCTTCTTAATGCTGAGTATCCTATTTTTGGTGCAACACCTGACGGGCTGAGGTGAAATGCCCTTCTACAGAAGTTACCATACCTTCCTGTGAAAGAAAATAAAACAACACCTAAATTTTGGGCACAAGTACAACTTCAAATGTTTTTCAGCAATAGAAAAATGGCACTTTTCTGTATAGCACATCCAGATTTCGAAAAATCTAAAAAATTCTAAAAAAGTAAATATTTATAATGTGCCGTTTGATGAAAAATTTTATCTGTTATGAATGATGCAAAGAAATTCTGGATAGATGCTGTATTTCCAAAATTAAAAAAGATATAATTATAACTTTTAAGCACATTTTTTTGTAAACCTTTTAGTAAATAAAACTATGTTTTGTAAATATAGTTTTTTATTCAATTTTAATTAAAGGTGATTAGCAAGCAATAAATTGACAAGCGCACAGCAAGTGATTATGCTATAGTCTAAATTGGGAATTAGAAAGTGAGCAACACAGGCATGTGGCTTCAGAAAAGCAAATTCGCGTAGTCTTCTGATCACTCTTTCAATATGAATTCGAAGGCTTGCAATTTTCTTTGAACTTAGTACATCATCCCTTGAACTTTTCTTGGTGTTGCCACAGAATACATAATAGTAGCAACAAAAATTGCACTCCTTTGTGTAGGATCAGATGCCGACATTTTAACGGTAATAATAATAATGCAAAATATCCAACGCACATGGTGCATTCGAAATCGCACTATACTACTACGCTCACAAGAGCGCATTTTTTTGTGTTTAGAATTGATCTACGTCACCGCTCAAGCGTCAGGGTTGTATGAGCAAAGTAAAATAAATAAAAACTTAATTTTAAGAAGCATTTATTGTATTTACGATTAGAAAACTTTAATCTAGTGGAGTTTGTATAATCGTACCATCTCTAAAGTACCTATTAATAAACTTCAGTGTTGCGATAATTCGAAATTAAACAAACAGTTTTAAAAGGTGTAGTGTCGGAAAATAGACACGGTAAAGTAAAGTTAATGTTTTTATTAGCTAAAATAATTTTTTTGGTATAGTTTTTTGTCATAAGTATTTCAATATAGTTTTTTTTATTATTTAAATCACTACAGTTAATTATTATTCCTAAATATTACATTTTTTCATTAAAGAAGAATAACAGTGCTGTTGGAACAATAAACCTTGATTGCGACTATGATCGACCGAGCGTGTATAGATACGCGTGTGCAAACAGGCGCGTGGCGGCCCGGACTGATTTGCAACTTGAAGTTGTCGCGCGCTGTAGGTAATTATCTCGGCCGGCATAGGCGAGTGACGGAGGCCTGGTGTTGCTAACGCTAGGTGGTCTAATCAACTGAAACTGTTTTTTTGCCAACACTCCTTCGATGTGCTTGAAGAGAATCTATCTGCCATGATACAAGCTCCAGATGGTAAAATGTCCATAAATCCAGGTTCTTCAAAAATTTTTAAGTCCGAAGTTCGGCCACCAAAACCTTCTGAGACAAAATTTATAACTCCGTCAGGTGTTGAAGATATCAAATATTTTAGAGTGTTGCATTTCTTGTAAGAGGAACAGGTCAGAGATTGGTGCACTGCATTACTGGGAATTTCAATTTTTATTTCAAGGCAATCAGCATGATTGCTGTTTATTACAAATAAACAGCATGATTGCTGTTTATTTGATTGTGACTGTCTGTCTGCCTTTACTGACCCACTGATGTGGGTCAGTGACAGGTGACAGCACAGATTACTTGGTGACAGATAGGAGTGACGTCATACGAACTATAGGACCCTTTTGGCGCGAAAATTTAAATTGACAATTTTAAACCGCATTTTTTGCAGTAAATTACAGTCTTTTCATTTTTTAATATACTTGTGGTCTATTCCACATGGAGTTCTTTAAAATAAACACAAAAATAAAAATAGTGCATCTTCCCTATTTATGTTATAGATGAGATGGCCAAAGAACAGGGACATACTGTCATCCGCTTGCCACCGTATCATTGCCAGTATAAGTAGGTATAACGCAATATAATTGATCTGGGCGCAAGTTAAAAGTATTTACATTTTTAGCTAAAGTGTTAATGTTGTATTTACTTACTTTAAAAAGTAAAATTAATTCAGTCATTGATAGCCAATTATCAGGTATGCCATTTGAGTTTATTATAGTTGCGGCTGAACCTGTGATTTTATTTAATATTCCATTAAGCAGGCATAAGTTAGGTAGTTCGCTGCCTGGCTCTGCGCTCACATAAGTTGCTACTATTTGATCGCAGATGCTAATAAATCTGGTTAATACATTTGGATTGCCATCGAAATCGGGCACCGGGCGTAAGGCCTTGTAAATGGTGTCAGGATCGTACGGCATCGTGTTACTAAATAGGTTATCTATATCTAGGTCACTAAAAGAATCTAACAAATTAATATTTCTAGTACGATCTATATTAAGTTGGCGACGAGACTGCAATAGCGCAGACTCGCTGGGACCCGAGGTGCTGGGACGGAAAATGATTAAAGATAAAAGGAAGTACTAAAGATAAAGGGACACAAGGAAAGCAACAGTAGAAAGATTCTGTGTACTTACAATCTCATGTCTCTGGTTAGTAGAGGTCGTACCGATGGCCGGATACTGGTGTTCCCGTGGCTGCAGCGCTCGTAGATTCAGGATACTCGACGTGGAGCTTGATAGCCGCCCGGGCGACCCGCGATACCGAATTTAGATTTTAGAAACCTTCCCGCGAATCGGCCGCGAGTATCCTACCGACTGCGCCAATTACGTAAGCTACAGCCGTAGGATCTAAAAAAAATATTTTAATTTCAAACTAATTTAATTAATAAAATAAAAATTACAATATAAAGTACTAAAACTAGAAGTAGTGCCTAGGTTCGAAGTGTGAACGCAAGTGAATGAAAGGGCAGCTCAAGGAAACGGCGCTGGCGGCTTGACGTCACGTAGGGCGAAATATGCTGACTCGGTGGCGTGTGCAGGCGCGTGATTTGAGGTCATCTCTAAGCAGCCGAAATGATGAAATTCTGCATAAGCATAATTGGCTTGCTTGACGTATGTAATTACTGTCTGCCGGTTAATATAAATAAATAGAAAAAGCATTTAAGGTTGAAGTTACTAAACTGTTCCTTAGTTTAGTTTTTACCAAATTGACTTGACTAAATACACGCTCTACGTCTGCATTTGAATGAGGTGAATGAAACTACGCAGATGAAAATGAAGAGTTGAATGAACTTGAACCAAACCAAAACATCACGTCTTCCGTAATGGCAAGTCTTGGAGTTGTCGCATATTCAGCCAGTAATAGTCAAAATTCAATCTTACGGAGTCGGCTGAATGACGTCACTCATTGTGTTTCATATAAAATTGATTCCAAAGAGGTCAGTTTGAAAATTATTACCGGGTACTGAATTTTGTACGCTTATGAGATCCCGAGAAGTACTTGCTTGATTTAGACAAATACTAGAACTCTCTTGGATTTCTGGGCTATTTTTTCCCGCTCTTGATGTATGAGACACATCTGTCTATGGACATCCTTAATCTAGTTTTTTGCAATCTCTATTTCTTGTTCTGATAAAATCATCTTCCGTCTGGGATCAATAAAAATTGCCGCCAAAAATGCATTATTCTGTAGTAACAGATTTTCTCTATTTACCATAGAATTAAATAGCCCCCAATCATTAAAATTATTGTATATTAGTTTGATATTGTACTTACCTTCTATTTGATGATTCAAAATGTTGTGTAAATTGTCTCATTGAATAAAGATTGATTTGAGTTTACTTAAATCATTATAATAAATATTTAACTAAGAGTAATTGTTTTAATAACGTATAATTATGAATTTCTCAGGGGGATTACGCTTAGATTATGGGTACTTTTGAGCGCACGTAGCGCCACCTATTATTATGTACAAAAAAGAAAGTTGTTTCAAAAGTGTCAATAACACTCACTAGATGGCACAAAATAGCAGTTCTAAAATTATTTCATGACTTTCTACTAATTACTAAAAAAATACATACATATAAAGTTTACATAGTAACGATTATTACAAAAACAAAAAAAAATATAATGAATTAAACTACTTCATAAACAAGTGATTTCAATAATTATTTGTTATAAATGAATAATTTTATGTTGTGTCATTATCGAAAACGAAACGCAAATGTCACAAATGTACGATTTGATTTGAAAATGAAAATGGCGGATTATTGGATTCGTAGCGTGTGCGCTTGCGTTCCTTCGTTCTGTATCTGTAATCTACAATTGTGAAAAGTGCGACGAGTTACGTTGAGTTGAACTCGAGTTCCTCCGTAATCTCAAATCAGAGACAGGACTCTTTTGATTGTGATGTTGGTTGTTGCGATTTGGACGCTTTTTAGTTTTACGTGTTTTAAAATGCCTCCCGGCTGCTATTTAGGATGCTCAAGTGGTAAAGTTATCTTTGCATTAAAATTTACAGGTTTTACTTTAACTTTTACTATTATCTTTGTTTATACAGGTTACTATTTCTAATTTGAGAGTAGCATTGTCAGACATGGACCTATTAAAGGTCCATGTTGTCAGATAAAAATTTAAAACCCAGCGGCCAATCTTAACAATTAGCCTAGTGCGTAGGTTAAAATAAGAGTGCTCGAACATGCGCGTAAATATAAGTGCACTATTTAATTTGACAACAATTGACGAGGACCGGAGATAATCCCACCTGTCAAAATAATGTACCCATTTCGACAAGAGCCTTTGGTTTGAGGAAGTCCAGCTAAATTGTAATAACTCTAGGTCAAAATAAGTAACAAATAAGTACAAGCCACTGGTTTAATTATTTTATGCTCAGTATGCGATCAAAGTACTATTAATTTAGGAGCTATTTCACTACTTATACTAGAAACAAAAAATAAGATGTTAAAGAAAGGAAAAGAATGGCGACACGATTTCTATGAAATAAATTTTAAAAAGATCGTACCTTTATATTATTATGTTCCCCACTTGTTGAAAGGGCTTAGAAATAATTTATTAACTAAAGACATGATTTATTTTGATATGGACGATGGGAATAAAGAAAAAATTGTTAAATGGAAATATTTTCAAGAAATTTACGAAGCCGACAAAACATTTGGGGAACTTCGTTTATTGAATAAAATAACCGAGGAACATATAAATATTGACAAAAGTAAAAAATGCGTGTTAAGACAGCAGCTCAAATATTCAGCCATAGTGTTGCGGTTGTGGCGGAACATTTGACAGCTAGAGGTATAATAAACGAAGAGTGTCGCAATTTGATTAATTTTGTTTTAACAATAGACAAACTATTTGATTCATTAAATAGTAACACATTTCATATCGCCAATGGTAAAATGTATAAAGGATGCGTAAGAAAATCATCACCCCATCATCGGCTCTGGATTAAAGCTAAACAGCTTCTTAAATCAGTTAAATTCATAGCAAAGAAAAAAACTGGTGATAAAGTTCGATTAGTAGAAACCACAGTACCAAGTACCAATAACTTTGTCAAAACTATTGAGGGCTTTGGAGTCGTATGGTATATTTTATTAAAAAATATAGTTTTGACTGTATGTTGACGCGGCACTTTAACCAAGACCCTATAGAAAATTTCTTCGGGAATATCCGTAGCTATGGGGCGAGAAATAATTCCCCAAATGTTGTAGCATTGGAAGGTGCATTTAAAGCCCTTCTTTTAAATAATTATAACTCGCCCCATGCTATTAATGCAAATTGTGAGAAAGATGAAAACAAATGTCTGCAAACATTTGATTTTATGTTAAGAGAAACCTACAAGTGGTTTTCAATCTCATCAAAGCGCAAGCATGAGTACTAAAGATAAATGCTACACTGCTGATTTATTGAGTCAAATGTACAAAGAAGAAACTAATCGCTTGTATTTCATATACCTGAAAAGTATTCTAAATGACGTACAAATGGGAATCAAGATCTTCGAAGGAGAGCATACAGATCCTGTTAAATTATTAACCTCACTTATGAATTTATTGCGATCAGTCTGCAACAGAATATTGATACCAAATTCCGCAACAACTGAAAAAGATTATTTGACCATTAAAATTTATAACCACCTAAGTCCAGTACCTCATCTAGGATATCTGTTTGAGTCCCACGTTGCTAAAGCCAATTTACCATCTGAAACAGTTGCAACTGTTAGAAAACGTTGTATTGATTTCACCGTTCGTTTGGCAAAAGAAATTCAAAACCGTTTACCCAGCAATTACGTGGCCTTACAAAAAATTACACAATTGTCTGTAGATAACACTTTAAAACAGATCAAAGATAATTCAATCGCTGAACTAGCTGTTGAATTTGGTTTTGAGGAGGACAAAATTGAAAACATATTAAAACAATGGCACACTATAAATTTTGTAAAATGGGACCTAACTACAAATACTGTACAATTCTGGGGTCATGTCTTAAAATACAAAGAGGCTGCAGGATTTAATACTTATAAAGACATAGCAGACTTAGCCATCACAGTCCTGTCGTTGCCACATTCCAACGCAGAAGTGGAACGAATGTTTAGTGAGATGAATATTGTAAAAAACAAACTAAGGAACAGACTGGCATCAATTACTTTAAACCCTATACTTATTATAAGAAATCAATTAAAGATTTTAAAACAAAATTGCCATAGCTATGTCTTGCCAGATGAAGTCCTTTCCAAAATCACAAAAACCATAAAAAAGCCGAGTGCTTCAACGTCATCCACTTCTGCATTGGAACCATCAGCTTCAACGTCATTAGAAATAGTCGAAGTCGAAGATGACGCAATCGATGACGCTATTTTTGATTGTATAAATCTATAGGCCCTACATATTAAATCTTTGATTGTTCAAATTGGTTTTTAATTACACCATTTTTTTATTGAATATTTGTTTTATTTAGCGACTTCTAGGGAATTTTTTAAGTAACTTTTTTTCAAAATCTAGGGACTTTTTAATCAAGGTCTAGGGACTTTCTTTTTTCCGAAACGGCAACACTGATCGACGCACAGTAGCAAGGAGACAGCCGCCGATGCATGTTCGAATGTACCACGACAATCACTCACTATATGTCATCAAAACATCGCCTCCCTTGACAAGAAAACGGGTCGTTTAGAAGTGCTATTGTCTAGTGAGCTAAAATGTGATGTGTTAGCTGTTACAGAGCATTGGTTATCTGACAGCAAGTTGAAATGTGTTAGCATAAATAACTACACCTTGGCATCTAGGTTTTGTAGAAAAATAATATCTCACGGTGGGTCGTGTATTTACGCAAAAGCAAATATAAATTGCAACGAAAATGTCGAACTGACGGCGTTGTCGGTCGAACAATATTGCGAAATATCCGCCATTGATGTTGTAGATTATAGATTATCAATAGTTTGTGTATATCGTACTAACCTAATAAGCTCAACGGACTTTCTATGTCATTTGGATCGCCTGCTCGACAAAATTTGTGACATGGATATTGATTGCGTAATCGTAGGAGATTTTAACATCAACTGTATTGGTGACTTAGGCCCCGTACAGAAGGATTTGATTGACTTGCTCTCGATGCATAATTTTAGAAATGAAGTTGAATTCCCCACTCGTGTATCACCCACGTCTTCGACGTGTCTTGATCACGTATACACAAATTTGACCGAGCCAATATTAACCTCACCGGTGATGACAAACCTGAGTGACCACTTCGCGGTGCGCGCGGAGGTCCAAGTGTGTGCGCCCGCGCGCCCGGGACTGCACTCCCGTGTCTCACGGGAACGTGTTGCCTTGTTCGTGGCGACCCTCGACAGTGTAGACTGGTCAGAGATAATAACGCGTAGAGGTATCAATGCCGACGCCTNAGCCGAGTGCTTCAACGTCATCCACTTCTGCATTGGAACCATCAGCTTCAACGTCATTAGAAGTAGTCGAAGTCGAAGATGACGCAATCGATGACGCTATTTTTGATTGTATAAATCTATAGGCCCTACATATTAAATCTTTGATTGTTCAAATTGACTTTTAATTACACCATTTTTTTATTGAATATTTGTTTTATTTAGCGACTTCTAGGGAATTTTTTAAGTAACTTTTTTTCAAAATCTAGGGACTTTTTAATCAAGGTCTAGGGATTTTTTTTCCGAAAAGGCAACACTGATTGGTTCCATTTTCGGTCCTATGGGGGCTGCAACAAAATAACTTAAATTAGAAATTTATAGTTCAAAATTTAGAATAGGTACCTGCAAATCAGACAGTAGTTTAAGGTTTAAGTCTAAGTAATTTTAGATCAATAGTCATTGTTGAAAGACCTAATTACAACAACTTTGGATTCCTCCAAAAGTGTCGAAGACTACGTAAACAAGATTATGACGTCAGCTCATAAATTGAGGAATATAGGATTTTCGATAGATGACGAATGGCTGGGCACATTAATACTTGCGGGTTTGCCAGACATGTACAAACCCATGATATGGCCATAGAAGTTTAGGCGCGATTGGTCCAATTCGCAATTGGTCCAATATAAAATGATATCCAAAATGAAAGAAATAAGGAGGTTATTCAACTTTTACTACTATTGCAGAAAAAAAGCGAATTAGTCCACTAAACGGCCATAGAGAGCTCCGGAGTAAGAATATGTGCAGATAACATCAAAACCAGTGGCGGATTAAGAGTATCCGAGGCCTTAAGCACAGAGCCTGTGTAGGCCCTCTATTGCTTAAATGGAAATTGAAGGAATGGAATGGAAGGTAGAAAGTATAAAATGAAAGTTCATCAATATAGAAAGTGTAGTAGGTATAATTTAAAATTTAAAACGTTTTTTCCTTGCCTTAATCAGAGCAAACTCCGAGATTACATAGTCGAAATTTATCTGACGAAGTATGTCTACCTCAATACACATTAATACAAATCTTATAGGTACATCTTACCTTATGAATCGATCTCAAGCTGTCACAGTCAAAGGGTTTGTTTCGAGTTTTACTCCAGTTACCTCCGGCGTTCCCCAAGGGATCTCACCTCGGACCATTGCTTTTTAACATTTTTATTAACGACATGATCAATTATTTTCAAAACTCAAGGTTACTTTATGCGGATGACACGAAAATATTTTCTACAATAAGATCTAGAAATGATTGTGAATTGCTTCAAAGTGATCTTAAACGGTTATGTGAGTATTGCTCTCGTAATGGACTTTATTTAAATGTAGACAAATGTCACACTATAACCTTTACTAGGAAGAAAAAAGTTCTACAATTTGACTACAAACTTTATGATACATCCTTAAAGAGGGTCACCGAGGTGAGAGATCTTGGGGTTCAACTGGATTGTGGCTTATACTTTGAACCTCATATTAATATAATTATAGCAAAAGCGTATAGATTACTTGGATTTATTTTGCGTCAAAGTACTGATTTTAAAAATGCTAACACGTTAATTTTACTTTATAACTCTTACGTTCGCTCTCAGTTAGAGTATGCATCGCCTGTTTGGAACCCGATGTATTCCAAGTATATTAACATGTTGGAGGGAATTCAGAATAAGTTTGTAAAACGTTTAAAATACAGGTTTAGGAACTTTGATTCCAATAAAATTGAATCCTTACTGGTTCGCCGAGAGCACAAAGATCAAATATTTTTATTTAAAATACTCAACGGATTAGTCGACTCTCCTTTCTTGTTAAGCAGTCTGGCTCTGAAATGTTCTAGACCTGGCGCGAGGCGTAAGTTCACGTTTTCAACCCCTGTTTGCAAGACTAATTACAGATGTAACAGTTTTCTTATAAGAGCTAGTAATAAGTATAATGATGCTTACAGTGATATCGACATATTTCATTGGAAGTTGGCGCAGTTTCGTCGCCTATTGAAGGGTTTATAGATTTCAAACTTCATTATTATAAAGATTTCTTTTTAATCCACTTTTAAGAATGTAAGGTTTTGTTGTGCATTTTTTTATATTTTGTGATTTTAAATTGCTCGCACTTTGCATAACTTTCGATTAACTTGTAAAGTTTATCTGTGGAAACTGATTAGGCTACTGTACTGTTTTTGTTTTTTAAGTTCTCAAAACTCATGCTGTTTGTTTCCTTAATAAAGAAAAATAAAATAAAAAATAAAAATTAATGCTAAAGAATTAAGCTTGTCTGGATGGATTTTTGTTCTTTGCGGGTTTTTTAATCGTTTTAGTTGAGAGAAGGATCGTTCAGCAGAGCAGTTAGTAATCATTAAGCTGTGAAAGATACTAAACGCCACTTCTATATTTGGGAAAACGCACTTTACTTTATCTTTAAAAATCATTTCACATAAATCGGAATGGGTGACCTTTGTTTCTAAAGATTCAAATTTTATTCGAATATATTTGTGAAAATGATTCAATTTCCCCGAGGAAGTTTTCATTGAAGTCTTCTGGGTAAGATTCTAAGAGCAATTGGATATCTTTCCATATTCTGAACATTACTTACTTATTTAGATCCGCAAGAAATGAAAACTTTTGTGAAACTTCGTGGTATACATCACATCTTCTTTGCTTTTGAGCATTAAGTGTGTCAATTATTACATTGAAAGTCTCAATGCGGAATTTGTCTCTAGGATTCAAATCAAGTTCCTCTGCATATCCATCATTTACTTGTTTCTTCCTAATTCGTCTTCAAGTTTCCTTATATTCCCCATTAGGAAAAATTTTTCTTGCCTCGCCTTCAAATTTTTCAAATTGATTCCTCATTTTAACGAGATGACCCGATTAAGAATGATACAAATTGGAACACGTTTTAGGATCTAATCCTTCTTCTAGGAGTCCTTTACTGGTGCGATGAAAAACTTGTAGAATATCATTCCACAAAGTGAGCATAAATATAAACTCAAACTCTTGCATTTTGTTTGAAATATTTTGTGATGTCACCTTTTTGGTTTGTGTACTCAGCAATTTCATCTAAAGCATCTAAAATTTTCGGATAGGATTGTAATATTGCACTCGTAGCTACAGCGTGAGCTTCCCAACGAGTGTCCGACAGCGACTTCAAAACGCTATCGTTGTCTATTAATTCTTTTAAAACTGCCCAACGATGAGTAGAAGCCGAAAAAAAATTGCATAACAACTGCACAATTGAAAAAAAATCACTGCGATCGTACAACAATCAACAGCACTGCGACCAATCAAGTTTAGAGTATGTGCAGCGCATGGTATAAATACAGCAATTATTTATTATGCTCTAAAATTTTTTGCTGCATCCCTTTGTATCGTCCTGACATATTAGCAGCATTGTCATATGATTGTCCTCTGCCTGCATTTTGCAATATCTATTTGTTATCACAAAACAACAAACTCCTAAATGGCTGAATGTATGCCGTCTCCCCGCCGTTGAACGGGTTAAAAAACGAAGCAAAGGAACGAGGTAAACGCGTAGATAGAGNGACTGGAGAGACGGTCTTGTGTTTTAGTCATATAACGTCCCTAATTAGTTGACCACGACTGTATATGCCATCACAACTGCTATTTATAAGTAAAAGATGATAAGTATCTAATATTTATAAAAGGACGGATGATATCCATTGAGAAATCAAGTACATTTACCTATTATCTTTCATTGTTGTTGAAACTTAGATATTTTGGAATATTTTTAGGGTTCCGTACCTCAAAAGGAAAAAACGGAACCCTTATAGGATCACTTTGTTGTCCGTCCGTCCGTCTGTCAAGACCCTTTATCTCAAGAACGCGTGAACGTATCAAGCTGAAATTCACATGAAATACTCAGGTCTATTGTCCCTTTAAGCTGTGAAAATATCAAACTTCTAAGCCAAGCCAATCAAAAGATACAGCCGATTATGTCGATATTTTCAACAAATTTTCGACACTCGCAAAGGAATCAAAACCTACAGGATACTTCCCGTAAACTCAGAATCTTGAAATTTGGCATAAAGCATTGTCATATAATGCAAATATAGGAAAAATTGCGAAAATTACATTTTTTTAGTTATATAATATAATAAAAATATTTTAATAAAATGAAACTTACTACCTTATTTCTCACGAACGAATAAAGGTATCAAATTGAAATTTATACCAAATACCTAGATCTATTGTCCCTTTAAGAAGTAAAAAAATCAAACTTCTAAGTTAACGCGATCAAAAGATACAGCAGTTTATACCGACACCTTAGACGAATTTCCGTCACACGCTAGGGAATCAAAACCTACAAGGTACTTCCTGTGAACTCAGAATCTTGAAATTCGGCACGAAGTAACGTTATATAGTAGATAAAGGATAAATTGCGAAAATGATAAATTTGAAGTTATATAAAATTTAAAATATTATTTTTGCTTACATGACAAAATATTTTTTTAATAATTATAAACTTACTACCTACCCTTTTTCACATGAACGCGTAGAGATATTAAAGTTGAAATTCATATCAAACGCTTCTTAAATCTAATTGCCTCTAAACTGTGAGAAATTCTAAATCAACGCAAAAATTCAAAACGCTGAGGTAGGTACCTACCTATAATGCAAATATAGGAAAAATAATCATACCGCATATTTTGAAATTCGCCACTACTCGCAACGGAATCAAGTAAGTAATTTGATTTAATACGTCATAAACTGTAAACCGCTACGTTTGTACGGCGGAACCCTCGGTGTGCGAGCCCGACTCGCACTTGGCCGGTTTTTTCTTGCTAGTGGAGCAACTTGCTCTTAAAGACTCTTCTTGTCGTGTCGACAACAAACCTATACAGTGTCAGCCCAAAAATCCGCTACAATAGTGGCGTTGTCAGTAGCATAAAGACTGATAGCCTATTAGGAGTCAGACAAAAATATGTTATAACTATTATTTTCGCATTTTCAGATGGACTTACCTGGCATATAACGTCACCTGAAAAAAATATTTTTTAGATATCATCAAAAGCGGAATTTTTTATCATATT